ATATATATATATATATATATATATATATATATATATATATATATATACACCTTTATTTTACCAGGAAGAAATCCATTTGAGATCATCAGTCTCATTTACAAGGATGTCCTGGACAATATGCAAATACAGCAACACTGTCTTAAAAATGGTAACAATAGTATTAAAATATTTACAACAAAACATCTATTAGTAAAACATAAAATGCAATGCAAGTTTTAAAAAATCACAGTTTAAGACACTTAAAGGTGCGAGATGTGACTAAATCCTCAGACAATATTTGTTTATTCATTCATTTAACCTTTATTTCGACAGGTAAATCCCACTGAGCCTCAAGGACTCATTTACAAGAGAGACCTGATTTCAACAAAGAATGATGACAACAATGGACAACAAAACAATGGTTTAAAGCTAGTTAAAGGAATAAATTAAATTATTAAAACTGTTCATTTGTTCATGTGATATTTTGCTAACGGCAAAAACAAACACACTGACAAATGTAGGATAAAGATAACGACTTGTAGCAGGAAGCAATAATAACTAGAGAAATTGCATTTCCTCCGGAAATGCTGTGTGAATGCTTATTGCTGAAGAACAGCTGAAATTAGCTAAAATCATGCTGAAATCGCCGAAAATAGTTGAAGTTGAAGAACAAGTCTAAGTTGGAAGAAAGCAGAAAGAACACATATTTGCTGAATTTGGTTTCAATAAGCAGAAATGAGCACAAACATTTATAAATTTGTTAAAACAGCTGATAGTAGCAAAAACTAGCTGAAAAGTAGCTGAAAAGGTAGAAAGAAGCTTAAACTACCAGAAGGAGGCATGAAGCATTTTTTTAACATTAACCAGCTATATAGTAGCTGAACCTAGCTGAAAAAAGTTGAAAGGAGCATAAAAAGCTGAAATTAGCAGAAAGTAGCTGAAAAAAGTTTAAATTTGCACAAGGAAGCTGAAAGCAGCTGAAGCAGAACAAAATGTGAAAGGAGCAGTAAAAGGTTGTAAACGGATGTAAAGATTTGAAGGATGTAAAATGAGCTCTGTTCATTTTCTATGAGGAACAAGTGTCAGAAAAGGCTAAATATTTCAAAAAGCTAACGTTGCACCAATACCAAAAGCCATAGCAGGACTGTCATGAAAGAGCTGAACGTTTATATGATTTGTTTAAAATAGCTTGAAAACTGTGGAACAAGAAAGATGCTGGAAAACGTACAGAAGACAAATGGATCACAATAGAGTGAATGCTTCATAAACATTCACACGAGGTCGCTTCACTTTAACAGTAAATCTGCTCAAACGCCTGAAGATCAGTGTTTAATAAAAAAAAAAAAATCTCCCAGTAGTTGCTTTAATTACAGTAAATAAGAGACTTTTGTGGTAATACTGTTAAATTACAAGTATACTGAACTGTTAGATATTAAATATTTTAAATGACACAGAGGTCAAACCCTAACTGAAAATGCTCAAACCTAATTAACAAGCAGACAAGATAAATTATCTTGCGTCACGATGGCATTTGTTGAACGTTGTGCGTCGCGCACACAGCCACAGATTTTAGGAGGTGTGTTTTTTTCCCGAACAGAGCGGCTCTTTGTGTGTTTGTGCTCTTGCACACATCACATGTGGACTTCCAAGCGACAGTGGAATAATACAGTGGAAGTGTTTGCGAGGTTTGTGTGACAGTGTGCCGCTGTAGAAACGATTAGCCAGCTCTTTTCCCTCGCATGTGATAGGCTGGTGGGCCTGGTGTGGGAGCCTCGCTCTCTCCCTCCCTCCCTCCCCCATCCTTTTTCTTGCCACCAACACCCCAAGCCTACAGCGCCTGAGGCTGACTACTGAGTCAGCAAGAGGGAAAGGTGTCTGCACGACTGTGGCATCAGAACAAGAGAAAGACGACGAAGGAGGGGGGAGTGGTTCAGAATGTAAAACGCTCTGTTAATAAAACATATTCACATGAAGAGAGGAGGAGGAAGTGCACGAAAACAAGTCAAGGAGGTCTAACGAGGGCCAAACATAATCTATTTTAACGTTTTACGTCTGCTTAGCATTCCTTGAAGGAATTCATATCACCCGCCGCCTTTTATGCCAGAGCTTTAAAGTAAAATCATTTTTTATTGAGAAAGAATGAATTTGTAGCAGTTTGGGTCAAACCTTCATGGAATTATTCTTCTGCACAATCTTGTAGTGTTGTGAGATGTGCTCTGAGTTCTGTTGTGAATGATTCTCAGCTACATCAGATTTGAGCTTTTGAGCTGTGAAGTTTTACTGACTTAAAGCCATTTTTGTGTTGGCGAAGCTTGCTTAGCTGCGGCAGCCATCTTCACCGAGCTGATTCCAAAAAATAACGAGCTGTTGATGCACATGCAGTGATTA